GTCCCTCAGCATCCTCTCTTCTCTGGGAATGCTGGGTGGACAGGGGCAGGTCTCTGTGATTTAGGATGCACATTGTCACTAACATCAACCACATCTCCACTGAGATAATTAAGCACCTCACCAGTGGTTCTCAACCCTGGCTGTACACTAGAATCATCTGGGGAACTTTAAAACTAGACCAAAGCCCAGGCCCTTCTCCCAGAGGTCCCGATTGAAGTGGTCTCGGTAAGGACCTGGGGTCTGGGACTGTTTTATAAAGTTCCTCAAGGGATTCGAATGTGCAGCCAAGGCTGAGAACTCCTGGCCGAATCATATCATCCAGCTCATTAAAAAGAGGACCTTAAAATTCTCTCCTGGTCCTATAGTTCACCATTTAACCAGGGACACATGTTATTGCTGGTGTCTGAGTGAAGATCCTGGGTGTGTGTAAGCTCCTTCAACACCAGTGACTGAAACTATGAGATACTTTGAAATCAAGTCCAGAACTAGCAGACTCTCCCCCTCTGGAACCCTCCCTTGGGCCATGAGTGTATTTATTACCACTGATGTTATGTTAATGGTCCAGACAGGCAAACTCAAAAGCCTTGACCCGAGGCCAGCAAGTTAACGCCCACGAGATAGGTGCTCAGTGAGAGATGGTGATGATGTGCTGTGGGAGGGGCGGGTGTAGCCTGAGCTACAGAACTGAGGCCCCGCTCAAGGGGGCCAGCATCACCATGAAGGAAGGTGGACCTGGTCTCACCACATTTTCCAGTTTTTTCAAGAGAAGTCAGAAATCTTGATTTTTATGCTAAATCACTTGATTTTTCCTAGTAGGGCTCATTTTTGTTTTATTTTATTTATTTATTTAAAAAGAATAATATTTTATCGAGTTTTCGGTGACAGTTTACCCAGCAAGTTAGGCTCCCATTTGACAATTTCTGCACAAATTGTTCAGTGACCTTAGTTACATTTATCACAATATGTCAACATTCTCTTGCGCTGTGTTCTGTATGTTCCCTTTCCAGTACTCTAGTTTCCCTGCCGCCTTATCTTCTCATCTATGCTTTTGAGTCTCATACTGATGGTTTTTAAGTAGGGCACCAATCTTACGGATAGTATCCTTTATTTTGTATGCCCCTCTGCTATTTCGCTAAAAGGTGATCTCAGGGAGTAGGCTCGGTTTATAGAGTATCTCAGGGCAACAGTCTCAGGGCGTCTGCTGGTCTCTACTGTCGCAGTTTGTTTGGCTTTTTTTTTTTTTTTTAATAAGAATTTGAGTTCTGCTCCACATTTCTCCCATTGTAACTTTGGGGGGCTCACTTCTATTTTAAAACACACACATGTTAAAGTGGGATGACAAAATATGTCTGGAATGGGACCCAAGCCCCCAGGGAGAGAACTAGTGGGAACAGTGGAATAACCCCTGTGTTCTCAGACCAATATTGAGGTTTCCAGTCTTTGTCAGGGGCCTGAAGAGTGAGTAATGGCACGTGGTCCATTGTCCCTTTGCCAAGTCACAGATGTGTCTCCTGCTTAGAGGCTGCAACCTGTGACTGGGGACACATGTCTTGGCACAGTTCAATCACCACGCCACTGTGTCACTGCCTGCTGTCACTTTGCTGTGACATTATGAGGGGATGGAATTGTTGTTTCTTAGTGAAAGATGGCTCACAAAGAAGCCAGCTGCTGGTGTGGGTGATGGAGATGAAAAGCAAGGGAAAGAAAGATGGTTTTTATCCAGAAAGTGGAAATGTTAAATGGGTTAAGAAGTGAACTGGGGAACCCAGCAGGGGCTCAGATCTGTGGGGGCCCGTGCCCACCATATGCTCTATTCACAGACAATTAAAAAGCAATTAGTGGAACTGCTTCAGCAAGTACCCCCTGCCAGAAATGGGTCATGGAGATAGAGGCCAAACCTCACACTATGCCAAGGATGGGTGGGAGCTGGGGACCCTGGCATTGGGGAGTAGTCATGAGGCTCCCAGGATGTCTCCCTGGGAGAGGCAGGGGGGCAGGGGGGCAGGGCATGGGTGCTGATACACAAGGAACCCCAGAGGGGCGTATCATATACACAGGCACACTGAACCAGAGCTTGGGCCAGGGTGGCTGCAAAGTCCCCCCTCCCCCCCCAGCCCTCAGCTCGCAGAAGCTCCAAAGCTTCTGCTTTGAGAAGGTTGGACATTCTCCCAACATGGGAAGCCCCCAAATCCATTTTAAATATCTGGCTCCCTCTCAGTTTTTAGGACTCAGCTTCTTCCTGAGAGGCTTCCTGGTCATTCTTAGTAACAGGATCTCTTGTCCACCCCATCCCCTTAGGACTTTCCTTGCCGTTTCCCGTAGGCATCCCAGCTACAACCGGGGCCTTTCCGCCCTCACCTCCACCCCCGCAGGCCTTTGCTGAGCCCACGTGTCAGATCCACACTGTGTGGAAGCAGCAGGCACAAGCCCTGGTCTCCTGAGGCTCACAGCTGCTGGGCAGATGAGGCCCCAGGGCAGTGTGGGACTTCAGTCCAGTACTTGGGTGAGGGTACTGGGTGCCAGGAGAGGCATCCTCAGGCCAGGGGCAGAGGAGTTGGCTGCTAGGAGCAGGCAGAGGTTGGTGGGGTGGTCAGGGAGGACTTCCTGGAGGAGGGTCAATCTAAGCCAGGTACTGAAGAAGGTAAAATGAGGATAGGGAGGGCATTCTTGGAGTGAAGGAAACAGCATAAGTGAGGCATGGAAGCTGAAACAAGAAGGATGCAACCAAGCGGGAGAACTGGTGCTGAGACGGGACACCACGAGTCAGGAGAAGAAGGGTCCCCAACCAATGGCCCCCTGGTCCAGACCCTGCAGTGTGCAGAGGCGGAAATGACTTACCCAAGGTCACACAGCATGTAAGTGATGAAGCTGGGACTCAAATCCAGGCCTTCTGACCCCACAGCCTGAGGCCGTGCCTTTGCATGAAGCTGCCTCCTGCAAGCAAAGTAACTTAAACCCGCTAAGCTGAGCCCAGCCTCCAGCCCCAAGAGCATAGCCGAGCTAGAGCACTGCCCCGGGGGTGGGGGAGGTGGGGTACGCCCTTTTGGTCTGTCCTCACCGAGGTTGTCCTCCCTTGAAATAGCAGATCTGGAGATCTTCTTCCAGGAAGCCTGCCCTTCATGCCCCGTCTCCCCTCCTCGGGTCACGTGCTCCTTTCTCACTTTATTATGCTTCACTGTTAATGTCTCTCCTGGGGATGGGATACATTTATCTGAGTGCTGGGTCCCCGGAGGTCAGCGCAGTGCATGTGGGTGAACGGTATTCCAAATGAATATCTGCCAGTCCTGGCCCAGGCTGAACTCTGATTCCTGACCTGCTTCCACTCCCAAGCCTCACTTTTCAGCGTTCTGTGCTGCTCCTTGGGGACTCCATACACTTGCCATAGCTGCATCCAGCACCACCTCCAGATCTACTGTGAAACTGGTGTCCTATGGGTTTGCCCCGTGGCCCTGTGCCTCTGTTGGGGTCCCCACTGCAGTATCAAGGCCCCGGCATCAGGAGTTGGGCCTATTTTTCTACCATCATAGCCAGCTTTTCGTGGAGCCAGGCACAGTCTCTCTCCCAGGGCAGGCCTCTGCAAAACGGCTGGGGGTTGGGTTTGGGGACTAGAAGACAGAAAGGATAAGAAGTGACTGGAGCTGGAGTCACATTCATGCCTTCCTGTGGGTCCTGGGACAGACCAGACAGACGCTCTCCCGGCCCTTCCCCAAAGAGCATCCAATAAACAGCTGAAGGATCCAACAACAAACTTTATTAGAAACGCTCCTCATTCATCAAATTCACATTGAAGTGGGGGGAGGCAGTACCATCTGGGGCTCTGGGATCTCACCGATGTGACTACTTCCAGTTAAAAAGGAGTCTGGGCAGAGAGTGCCCAAAACGCACGAGAGATGCCAATGGTGCACGTCTCCCACATCCACCCTTCCAGTTACCAGGCTGCCCCCACGGGCCCCAAACTGATAAATAAACATCACATCACACACACATTTGAAACGGGAACAAAATCTGTAGAAGTCTCCAAAAGTGAAAAAATAATTCGCTCAAATAAAGCTGTGACAGCCAGGCTGTACCCTGAATGGACGGTTGCCTCGAGACCCTAGGCTCCCCAGGAAAGCTCCCCAGCCCAAGGACACCACCCAGCTTGGGTGAGACTATGCCCGAAATTCCCCCATTAGCACCTTTGGACTAAGTACCACCCACACCACACTCCTCTTTTAAAATGAAAACTCTGTTTAAAATAATAATAAAGGATACATTCTGTCCCTGGGGTGAATTAGTCTGACTTCTCTTCCCTGAATAGAGGGGCCTGGGGCATCCAGAGAACTCTGGGGGGTCGGTGGCCAGGGAAGGAGGCATGTGGAGAGGAAGGGGTAAGTAAAGAGCATTCAAAGAGGTAAGTTGGAAGGTAACTAAAAATAGCCATGTCCACTTCCCAATTTTGCTGCTGGGCATCCCTGGATAACAGTCTTTCAAAAGGGTACAAAGTCCTCATATGTCTGACGATCCGGATGCCCTGCCAAGGGGTGGGGCCCGGAGGGGCGCTGGCATCCAGCTGCTTATATCATTCATTATTCAGAGGCAATTTTCTCCTGCTCTGGCCAATTTTCCCCTCGCCCTGTCCGCAACGGGGAGCACAGTAAGTCTGCTGCCCAATGTTTTATTCATTCTGTTGAATAAGGAAACAGGCTCTTTGATCAATACCGGGTGCCTGCAGTGTCCGGGTGGCCAGCAGGATCTGCGGAGGCCGGCGCAGGCTGCAGGCTGCAGGCTCTTCGTGGCTTCCAAGGAGGTGTCTTGGGAGCGCTGCTCTGACGGCAGCAAATACTGTTGGCAACAGACATTTCGTTTTCAAAGTCGGTAACACATCCTGGCCTCTCAGGGAACGGAACGTCCTGGGGAACCGGGGTGAGAGGGGAGGGCCCCTCCTGAATGCACTGCGCGAACGTGAGATGACAGGCGGGGACGCCGAGGACGCCCGCCGCTGCCCTGCAGCCCCCAGCTCACTGGTACTGCAGGTAGTTTTTGAGAGACTGAGGCAGGGGCAGGGAGCCGATGTCCCGCAGGTGCTGCCGGCCTAGGGCGGAGCGGATGGATCTTCGGCACAGGTCCATCAGCGGCAAGGGCTCCGCTACAACGAAAAGGAAGCTGTTAGTGTCTCTCCCAGCCTTTCTAGCACCTTCTCATCCCCCCATCCAGCCATTACATACTACCCACCTGCCTGCTCCGCTGAGCCCCAGCTTCGGGGCCCAGGGTTTCTCCCCTGGAAGCCTTCCCTGGTTACATTAGCTGATGTCAAGTTGCCCCAATTCATGGGACCCCATGGACAACAGAAGAAAATGCTGTCTGTCTTGTGCCATCCCCATGCAGAAGGGATGCATTTTTTCCTTCTAGCATCTTGTTCTGGAAAAATTTATAAATTAAAATCCATGAGCAATAGGGCTGAGTTTAACTGGGTTTTTTGCAGACACACTCACTCAACTCTTCTGCTCTTCCAGGCCCTGTGACTGACCCTGGGGATACAGAGTTAACCAAGCCAAGACCAGAGGCAGCCCAGAAGAGGAGGAGAGCTCATGCTCTGGGAGTTTAAACAGGATTGTTAAATATGCAATGATTCCTAAATGCACAGGGGGCAGCAACCAAGCAGTTACTCTATGGAGAGGTCAGTGAAAGCTTCAAAGAGAAGATGACACCTGAATGGGGTTTTGAAGGGTGAATAGGAGTGTTATAGGCACATCAAGTTAGAGAGGGCATTCTAGGCAGAAAGAACAGGCAAAAGCACAGAGGAATGAAACAGGATGGGCTGGGAGGTTTGGAGGGAGAGGAAATGGCGCTGGTTGGTGGTCAGAAGCTGGATCAGGAATGAAGAGGCTGATGACTTGTAGAGGCCTCATTTCCCTAAGCAGACAGGAACATGCTGGAGGCCCTGAAGCTGCATCTTAGTACTTTTTTGGTAACAAAACAAGGGATATTTTAAAAGCATTCTACCATGTACTAAGTTATAATAAAACCGTAAATGGTAAATAGTAACACAAGAGCTGTGATAGGAATAATTTTACAAGGGATGGAGGTGGTAACAATTGTGTTTCACAGGAACTTTCATTTCGTAGAGCTGCAGAGTTAATAAGACAGCTGTTAAAATCAAAGTGGGACTTGGCCGGGGTGTCGGAAGCCACAAAGTACAAGTGTATGGCCAGCTCTCCCTCACCTCAGGTGAAGCCACGTGAGGTAACTGCGTGGAGTTAAAACATTTTCCCCTCTGTATCCTTCTTCAGCAGTCTTTGGGTAGCACAAACGGTTCAGTGCTTGGCTGCTAACTGAAAGGTACAAGTCCACCCAGAGGTGCGTCAGAAAAAAGGCCTGGTGATCTACTTCCGAAAAATCAGCTATTGAAAACTTTCTGGAGCACAGGTCTACTCTGACGCACGTGGGGTCTTCACGCATAGGAATCAACTCTGCAGCCTGGTCTGGTTCTTCTCTTTGGATCCTCATACAAACCCTTGGGGTTGGCTCAGGAGGCCTGGGCATCCCTCTTTTCCAGGCGCGGAAGGCCAAGCACACCCCCCCACTCACATGGTCACTATGCCCACACCAACACCTGACACCTCCTGCCAGGCGCCCCCATCTCTCCCTCGGCAACACCCTGCACCCAGCTCTCCTGCTCCCTGTCCCCCATCCTGCTCTGGCCCAAGCTTTGCACCGTCCCCCCCCAATTCATGCCTCTGTGAACACCCTGGCCCCCAACCTGAATCCTCCTGTCCTGGACATCCTGCTGGAGCCAGCCCTCCCCACTGCAGGTTGCCATGACATCCTTTGTGCGCCTACAGCACCAAGGCTTGCTGCCGGTGCTACTTTTGGAGGTTGGGGAGAAAGAAAACCAACTAGTACTTATTTACTTACCAGGCAATGTAGGGGATACAAATATAATTAATTGTAGCTACTCTTTATTGAAGGCGTATCATGTGGCCAAGCACTGTGTTAAGCTCCTTGTTTGTATTAACTCATGTTAATAAAAAACCAAACCAAACCCACTGCCGTCAAGTTGATTCTGACTCATAGCGACCCTACAGGACAGAGTTAGAACTGCCCCATAGAGTTTCCAACGCTGTAAATCTTTACGGAAGCAGACTGCCACATCTGTCTCCTAAGCAGCGGCTGGTGGGTTCGAACTGCCAACCTTTCGGTTAGCAGTCAAGAGCTTAACCACTGTGCCACCAGGGTTCCTACTTATATTAATAAGCCTATCAAATTTATATTATTATCATCCGCATTTTAAGGCAGAGGAGGCTGAAACACAGAGAGGGTAAGTCATTTGCCCAAGGACACACAGCTGGTAAGTGGCAAAGCCAGCAACAGAACCCAGGCAGCTGGAAGATAGAACCTGATTTAAATCTTAACCACTTTTACTGAGTATCTGTTCTGTCCCCATTGCTGTGCTAGGTTTGACTCATTCAGGTCTTAAAACAACCCTCTGAGGTGGATGTGACTGTACCTATTCTAGAGATAAGGACATTGAAGCTCAGACAAACGAAGAGGCTTGTCTGGAGTCACACAGCCTAAAAGCTTGCATTTGGAGCTGTATGCTGCCTCCCTTAAATGCCCTGCAATAGTGTAAGGTTGCTTTAAGGTGAGAATTGAAGGAGACAGTCACCTGTCTCCCAGTCACATGTCTGTGACCCAGTCTACAGCCTCTCACTCTCCGGCTCCCACCACTGTCCAGCTCACTGCTGCCCACTTCTCCTGCCGTGAGGTCTGCACCCACCTAAATGGGCTGCCCTGAAACCAAGGAGCATTTTCTGCTCTCACGCCCACACACGTTAATGAGGACCCCCCAGCCCTATTTCCATCCTCACGTTCTTCTAGGCCATATCAGACGCCACCTCCTCCAGTGCAGAGGGCTGAAATCTCGAGCACTTCGGAGTCTCCCATTGTGATCTCCCGTTCTGCCACCTATAGGTTTATGCCTTGGTAAAGGTAATCCTCAGTCCCCGTTTCTTCATGTATAAAGTGGAGCCCATTACCCATCCGTCAGTTTGTTGTACTGTGATGGCTATAATGCTGGAAGCTATGCCACCAGTATTTTCAAATACCAGCAGGGTCACCCGTGGTGGACAGGTTTTAGTGGTGCTTACAGACTAAGGCAGACTAGGAAGAAGGGTCTGGTGATCTACTTCCAAAAATTAGCCCAAGAAAAGTTATGAATCCCAACAGAACATTGTCTGACTCGTTTGCTTTGGACACGTCATCAGGAGGAATCAGTCACTGGAGGAGGACATCATGTTTGGTGAAGCAGAGGGCCAATGAGGGAGAGGGAGACCCTTGGCGAGATGGATTGGCACAGTAGCCACAGTGATGGACTTGAACATGCCAGCAATCTTGAGGATGACGCAGAGCCAGGCAACATTTTGTTCTGTGGACATGGGTTGCCAAGAATCGGAGTTGACAGCAACTAGCAATAACATAAAAGTGGAGAACAAGCCCCAGGGTTGTTGAGAGGATTCGAGGAGATGACACACGCGAAGTGCCTCGCCCAGTGCGTGGAGGTAGTGGGAGCTCAGTGCCGACTCCCTCTCAAGGTGTGTCTGCACAAAGCACCTCCGAGCGGCCGGTCTGACCTGGTCGGAAATGTCCTCTCCCTCCACTTGGACAAATGTGGCAAGGATTTTCTGTTCAATTCTTGTGACAATGAATCATTACAAGGAGACTGTGAACTTTCTAAAGGACAGTGACCCTGACTTCTTTGTCTTGGAATCCATAGCTCCGGATGAGGCCTGTCACAGAGGGATGGGCCAGAAAACGTCTGGTGAATGAATGATCTGCTGCTTTGGGACATCACTCCTACAGCTGTTTCAAGCTATTTATAGACTGTTCTTACCTGACACGCGTTTTTGTCTTATCTCCCCTCTCTACTGCAAACCCGAGAACAGGGGCAGCTCTTCATTGACAAGACGCTTGTGGTGGGGGTTAAATTAAGTAGAAAGTGTTAAGCTCTTAGCACACCACCAGGCACATAGTAGGTGTTCAATGAATACCACTTCTAGCCATTACCTCCGTATCCTAGGCATTTTTAAATCACCCATGCCAGAGGCTGAACCTGGGGAAGGCTGTTCATGGGTGGGCTCTGGCTGGGAGAGCAGTAGTTCCTTCTCTGAATGAGGGGAGAGGGGCTTTTATTTCCCGTCAGGAAAACTTTGAGCTGTTTTACAGTTATTGTCAGAGCTTAAGAGCTTTCTTTATTTTTTTTGTGTGGTAAACATACATATATATTTACCACAATAAAAAATATATATTTATATATATTTACCGCAATAAAAAATAAAGCTTATATATATATATATTTAAAATAAAGTATATATATGTATGTGTGTGTGTATATATACATATCCCAATAAAAATAAAGCTTATATATACACTATACATATATACATACATGTATTTATTTTTTTTGAGGTAAATGTATATATATGAAACATTTCCATTTCAACATTTTTTACACGTACAATCCAGTGACATTGATTACATTGACTTAATGCTCTAGGCACATAGTAGGTCCTCATGGTCCAAAATGCTTAGTCTTGTAAGCAAACCCAAATCACCCTGTGTTCTTTGCCCAGTCAGGAGCGGAAGAGGAGAAGGAAAGAATGCCTTTCATCTTCACCCCTCTGCAGTCACTGAAATCAAGCCAGAGCCCAAATTCCAAAGAAGAAAGAAAAAGTGGGCTGGAGTTTGGAGCACATCTTCAGCTCTAAATGCCAAATATGAGTCACCTCTCTTAACTCCTGAGGGGACTTTAAACTGGTGGCTGCACAGCAACCCTACAGTGTAGAGAAAAAGCCCTGCACTCTCACCACAGCTGTGAAACTTCAAGGGCTCTGAGAAGGTCCAGTGATGGGTCCATCCTCTCCTCCTCACCCCTTTGGTTTTTGGAACCCCTCTTAGTATTGCCAGATGTCAAGGCTTAGAAATCATCAACCAGGTGGGAAGGGAAATACAGAATTTTCTGACATGGGAGCCAAGCTCAGAAATATTTTCCAACTAAAGATAAAATAAAAAAGGAATCATTGGTCCCAAAAGTGAATATCCAAATGGCCAATAAACATATGAAAAATTGCTCAACTTCATTATTCATCA